TTTTATAAGGGACTTGCACATTCACAGATTTGAGTGTATGAGGAGTGGAGACCTTATCCTTTTTCTTTCTTCTTTTTTTTTTAAAGATTTATTTATTTTATTATTTGTTATCATTATTCTTTCACTGGACAAGAGTGAGAGAAAGGGAAAGCGAGAAAGCGAGCTGCCAGAAAGGGAAAGCGAGAAAGCGAGCTGCCAGGTCCAGGACTTGAACCACAGCCGGTCAGGTGGCTGTCCCCCACTGGGCCTCCATCAGAATTTATCACAAGATTGCAGGGGTGCCTGTGATCATAATAGCAATGACAACAACTGCGGAAGTCATACCCCGTCCCGTGCAAGTGTGTCACACTAACAGACATGGTCACTTGGGGCCAGCAGATGGCGTGGTGGTGGAGGTACTGGATTCCCACATGTTTGACCACGGTTCAAGTCCAGATCCCGGCAGCTTGAAAATCACAACAAATAAATAAAATAAATAAATAGATTAAAATAAAGAAAAAAGTCATTCAGTCCTTTTACCGACCCTTGGGAAAAGGCCATGACCTTCCTTCTACTATATAAATGAGCCCACAGGCCAGCAGGTGGCATGGTGGTTAAGGCTCTGTACTCCCACATGGCCAACCGTGGTTCAAGTCTCAGACTTGGTGGCTTGCTTTCTCACTCTCTCTCTCTGGTAAAATTGAACATAAGAAAGAACCTTTCATGAGAGGTACCAGTAGATGGCCTAGTGATTACATCGCTGGAGTCCCACATGGTTGACAGCGATTCGAGTCCTAGACCCGGTGACTTAAAACTCACGCCAGGCATGTGTGCATGCATGCCCAAAATCCTGACAAGGGAATGGAGAAGGGATTGTGGTGTGGCCATCCCCCCTGGGGGGTGATTTCTCGCTTTCTGCTTCTCTGGCTGTCTCTGTCTCTCCAGTGAGTGCACATACCCTATAGCAAAAATTTCTCTTTAAAAATAAAGCTTTCATGAGAGACTCACTTGCGGATTCTCAGTAGCCTGGTGCATGCCAGCTGAATGTCCATTGAAGGCATTGCTTTCTAACAAACCCAGCACCCCTGGCCAGGGAGCCAGTTTTGGGCTCTCTCTTCCAGCTAATCTCTGTGCCTTCTTCGCATTCCTTATGCAGACAAAACTATCCTGGAAGTTTTGAAGGCCCAAGATTGCACAAAGATTCCCAATTCAGGCTCCTGGAATGTCACTAACCTGAACCTGGCCAGCGTCCCGGAGCAGCCATAGACAAACTTGGTATTAAAGAGTTCTCACAACCCTGCTAAGTGTTCAGGCCACTGGCCTGTTTATAACTCTCCTCCTAAATGATGTTAAAATGCAATGGTCTGAAGCCAAGGACATTTCAGTATAAACCATGGAGTGGCAGAATGTCCCCTTGAGAGTGTAGGCAGCCTTGTTTGGAAGTGGCTCTGGCTGTGGCCTGAGCTCCAGTGGACCGGTGAGGTTTGCAGGGCCCCGTGGCGGCTGATACAGTAGGCCCTCCTCACTCGGAGCCTGGGGGAGCAGGAGCTGGGGTCCCTGACAGGGGATTCTCAGGATAGAATTCCCTCTGCACAAATAGGCCAGTTTCCCTGGAACCCCTGGTCATAGCCTCACCCACTTCCACACCATAGATGTGAAAAAACTCAGTGTCTGAAGCAAAGCATGTCTCTTGCCCAAGTCTCCTCTTTTTTTTAGTATTTTTTGCCATAAAACAAGTGTGCTCACCAGAGAGAGACAGAGACAGAGGGAAGGTGAGGACTCAACCCCCAGGGGAGATGGCCACACCTCAATCCTTTTTCCTCCATTCTCCTCTCGGGATTTTGGACGCGCACGCGCACGCACCCAGAGTGTTTTTCAAGTCACCAGGTCTGGGACTCAGACTGCAGAGTCAAGCATGTGGAATCCAGGACCTTAACCACTATGCCACCTGTTGTTGCTGGTTCCCAGTTGTCATCATCTTCTTTTTTTTTTGAGAAAGAGATTTGTGGTATAGGGCATGTGCACTCATTGGAGAGACAGAGAGACAGAAAGCGAGAAATCCCCCCCT